AAGTGACCGCTTTAGGTTTTACTCCCAAATCCATTGCTTTTGTTTTCTTATCTAAAGATTTAAACTGAAAAGAAAAAAGTTTTAAAATTTAAATATGAAATAATTTGATATTCCCTGGATAAGCCATGAATATTATTAATAAACATAGTAAATTAGTCTTTTCCGCCATAAAAATTGATATAAATAATGTTTGAAGGAGTCGTTGAAATGAAAAGAAAAACACACCAACGATACGATATTTTGATAATTATTCATTAGATAAGGAGGTATTAATTGATTTTACATACGATCATGAAGTTTTCGCATTCCCAAATTAATGTGAATTGAACGAAAAATCTTCGTGCCAATATTTATCCAACTCCGCAATAATCATAAAATATTTAATGTATGATTATTGTAAAATGTATTCTCGATTCATAACAGATTTTGCATTTGAAAGCTCAATCGAAAGCTAAATTAATTTGTCAGAATAACGATATTGAAAAAATACAAATCTCATTATTAACTCGAAATGTTAAATAACATTTTTCACAGTTGCTTCCTCAAGTCTTTGGAACACTGCCTTGAACGACCCGAAGAGCTTGGCCCGCTTTTTAAGCGGTACGAGAGGAAGTTGCACATGTATGTCGTTTATTGTCAGAATAAGCCCGTTTCCGAGTACATAGTTTCTGAATATATCGACACTTACTTCGAGGTAAGTTCCACACAATCGATATTCTGGTAAAAAGTAATATTTTTAACGTATTCGGTTAACTAAGTTGGATGGTAAAGAGTAAGGATTTTACGCCTACGAATTATTCATGATTCATATATTAAGTTGGGGGGTCGCGTTCGTGAATTTATTAGGCGATTATTTGCATGAATTATGAAGATCATTATTACAGGTATTCTTAAACGTTTATCAATCATTGTGCAGCGGTCATTAGAACGTTGAAATTCTGAAATCATTCACATAATACAATCATAATATTCTACTACATTGTACTACGGCGAATTCTTTTTTTGCGCAACAGCAATTTTTAATCAAAGTTCTGCGTAAAATATAAATATTCTTTTGTAGTTGATGTAGTGATTGATGTAATTAAAAATTTTCAGTAATCGAAGAGACTGTAAAATACGCGGCGAGAAATCGGTCATAAGTTTTACTATATTTAGACAAGTATTGAAACTAATTTTCAAAACACAGAAAAAAAAAGCTTGAAGTAAATTTAAAAAGTCCTAGTTACATGTTATTTCTCGAATATTTTCTCTGCAATTCAACACGTAAAACAAGCGAGAGAAAAACAAAAACGGGAGACGTGGAAGGTACTTTCAAAAGTTTATATCATGCTATATAAGGAGCTACCTCTACCATTGTGTCGTGTGATACAGGAACTTAGACAAAAATTGGGCCACCGGCTACAATTGTGCGATCTTCTCATAAAACCAGTGCAGAGGATCACCAAGTATCAGCTACTGTTACGCGAGGCCCTGAGATTGACGGAACGCACGCAGAGACTCTCGGAAATCGAGGGCCTCAGAGCTGCTGCGCACGTAATGCGAGTCATACCCAAAGCGGCCAACGACATGATGGACGTCGGCAGGTTGCAGGGTTTCGATGTACGTCTGACTTTTCTTCTTCTTCTTTTTACTCGTCCTCGAAGCCCCTTGGTCGTCACGATTGATTACACGATTGAATATACAATCACGACGTGGCACAATGTTACAAGGGATTTTTAAATAGCAATAGAGGATCCGTCGAGCTCCGTAATGATTTCCAATCTCCTCGCTCTTATTATACAAATACTTATGACGTATAAATATCAAACTTAAAAGAAAAAAAACCTTTTGCTTACATTGTTTTATATAAATTATTCTATATAAAAGCTAGATAAGAGCTTGCTCATGCTTTCGCACGTCATCAGCATTCACAAATTTAATTAATGCTTCAACATTAATTTTCTCCCCTTTCAAATTACACTTGAAATACTTAAAATAATTTACGTCCAAAGTACAATTTTTATTTGCGAACGCAATCATTATTGAAGCGTCAATTTCAAAAGTGAAAATAGCATGACTAACGAAAGTAGGTAATTGTTTTAATGGTATTATTTATTTTTAATTGCAATAGGAAATCTAATATTGTTGAAAAACACCGATTTATCGTTCGTAAAGTTTGACCGAATGAAATATGTTTACAGGGAAAAATAACTGCGCAAGGTAAACTCTTACTTCATGGACCATTAATGGTTGCTGAGCTTTCGTCGCTGCCAAGTCGAGGAAGAGAATGGCAAGTGTTCCTCTTTGAACAAAATATTATCTTCAGTGAAGCTGTCGGTAAAAAGACACAATTTACAAATCCCGCCTACATATACAAGGCTCATATTCAGGTAATAAATAAAATCTAAAATAGTTTTGTTTTAAAAATAATCGATTTCGACCATTTTATCGGTGAAGTAACACCATATAAATCACACGTATATTTAATAATAATACAGACAATTATTTTAGATTTTAAATATTGTCTTTACTAATACTAATATATAAAATCCGTAGTTGCTATTATTATTATAACGTTTTTAAAAATTTTATGGGGTGTTACTCTATCGCAATAGACTATTGCGTTATATATATATATATATATATATATATATATATATAATATGTCGATACAAGTAGTACAATACAGTTTTTGCTTATTTATTTTATCGTATTATTATTACTATTATTATTATTATTATTAAGCCATTCGATAACAGTTTAATGCGAAGGGCCATTAATTAATTTAGATTAATTCATATTGTCGTTTTGGTACGGTTGTCGCTACTAAGATGATAGTAAAGTCATATTAAGCGTATTACCAATTCGTAATAAGAATCTTTGAAATAAAACAAAAATTAAAAATTTTAAATTATCAATTTTAATGTCCATCGTCGTTAGTTGTAAAATAAAGTAGTACAATTTAATAATAGATATACACGTACTCGCACTACTCCAGCTTCCACAGTCACTTCGATTTCTTAACGTCTTAATCGTAACCCGCAGGTGAACAAAATGAGTCTGGAGGACTCAGTCGACGATCCGGAAAAGTTCATTATCCGCTCGACGGATCCACGTAAGCCTGGTCTAGGTTTCATGTGTTATTGTTGTCCTGTTACGAGTGATGAAATCGTTACGGGAAGCATCGGTGGCTCTGGGAGTACTTCGGGCAGCGCACTACGACGCCAAGAGTGGGTTGACACCATCACCTCTATACTACAGACCCAGCGCGATTTCCTCAAGGCAATACAGTCACCAATCGCCTACCAAAAGGAACTTACCAAAGATCCACTGTAAGCTGGCTCCGAACACCTCAACAAAACCCCACACCTCACTCCACCAGCCCACAAATACAATACCCGCCCAAAAAGAAATGACTCGAGACAGTTAAATCTAAACCTATTTAATAATATTAATAATATTAGTAATAATATTAATAATAATAATAATAGTAATAATAATACGATAAAATAAATAAGCAAAAACTGTATTGTACTACTTGTATCGACATATTATATATATATATATATATATATATATATATATATATATAATAATAACTCTTAACTCACACAGCAGAACCAACCTAATAATTAAGAAGTGTATGTATACTAATAGGGATTTTTGTTTTATCGACATTCGCATTACTATGGAAATAATATTATATTGATTTAAGGTCGTCGAGGTTTTTGCCATAAATCAATTACGGGTAAATTATGCATATTTTATAAAGGATTAGCTGCCAGAGAAGCATTATATTTAGTGACTAACAAATCTTTAAAAGAATAAAGAAGAGCAGAAAAAAAAGCATTGATAACATCTGGATATACTTATAAAAAGAGTACAATTTAATGATATTGAAAAATAATAAATATTAGCTTTATGAAATAGGATAATTCATATTTTGGGAGTACGTAGTTTTACCAAGTTTTTAAACGCTTAGAACATTTCTAATTATTTATTTATAAAATTTTAAATATATTATTTTAATGTAATAAAAATTATTTTCTTTTATTATTTGGTACTTAACCGAATATTTACCTATGGCACTTTAAAACCCAATTTATAAGATTATGCAGACATAGATTTTCTATTTTTCGCTTAGTGAATATCGTTAAAATAATTCGCTCTAGAAAAATAAGCGACGATAAGAAATGAAATTATCCTTATGAATGTACTGTGAGTAACTTGAAAATTACTAAAGATAAATCATTACTGTACTTATAATACGAATATCGATAAATATGTCCTTAGCGGTATTCCACATCGCTTTCAAAATAAAATAATTATTATTATTAACGATTAGCAATTAATAATTAACACTACAAAGAACAAGCAAAAATGAATAAGACAATTCTCATGCTATTCGACTACATTCTAGTCTTTAATGCTCGATTTGTGAATAGTCGTCGTTGCGACATATTTTTGTATATTTTATATAAAAATAACTATATACATATACATTTACATACATGCAGACGCGCATATGTATGTACATACATAAAAATGCGCGCGCACGATTACACACGCACGATTACACACACTCGCGCGCGCGCGCGCGCGCGCACGGAGAGTATACACACAAACACAAAATATCTCTGTAAGCGACAGCAAGTGTAGTCGCTATATGCCTCCTAATTCCTTTACAAAAACCGATAAACACAATATTTTATGCCCTCTTTCGAGATAAATTGATGTTCTTTACATATAGATGAAACACATTTCACTTCTACTTTCTTAAAAGATCCACAATATTGCTTAGTTTCTGATTTTAAACTCATTAACTGTCTATTCTATTTTCCCTTTTAATACCATTTTCAACACCAATTTTAGAAAGAAGAAGAATAAAACAATCCTCTACTCATTATAATCCCTTGGTAGACGAATGCTTCTGAAAAGCCTTGAACAGATTTGCATTTTTTCTACGAACCTTCGTTTCTTCAAGCCTGTATTCTATTTTATATTTTATTATTATTTTTTATTTTTTATTTTTTATATTGAGAAAGTTTCAAAGATTTTCAGACATTCCTTTACGCCGGAATTGCCTTTGCGCGTAATCTTTGGCTTTTTCCAAAAATGTACTACTATGCTCAAATACAATTATTCTATTGATTACAAATTTGAAAGTAAAAATTATTTTAAAAAATATTGTTCTATAACCCTTTATGGTAAGAAAAGGACAAAAACTAGCTTTAACTAGTTCTTTTTCACACATTCACAGTTTCTCTGTCTCTTTCTTCAACAGAGCCTTTGAACGCGTAATAATCCGTTCCAATGTGCATAATTATACATACGTGTATGTATAACATTATATTAAGTATATATTGCTATTGTCGTATATATAAATATAAATACAAGTATAAATAAATACGCTGAGAAGAAAAGTGAGAAATCAAAAAATGATTAAAAAAAAAAAAAAAGAAAAGTGATGCAAAACGTTTATCTCGCCAGCGAGAGAAAAAGACAGAATGAGGGATTATGTCTGTTAAAAGGATACGTACACTTCGCAAGAAAAATGTAACAATGAAAATTGTATGATATATTTATAATAATTTTAATAACGTTTATAAACCCATAAAAGCCATAAAGCAAACACGTTTGCGCTTTTCGCACATTGCTGCGCTCGGCGAAAAGGTGTTTATTACATTGTAAATACTATAAACGAGGGGAAAAAAAAGGAAGAAATACGTATTAGTCGGAAGATACAGCAACGGAAATAAAAAAGTGACAAAAAAATTATCTTATAATGGACTCGTAAGCGTAATACTTTGTTTAGAATAAATCTTAAATTGACCAAGAGTTTCTATCGCGTAATCTGTAATTCCTTCATTTAATCCCGTTCCTTAAAACTATTTTGCCTGATTCTTCTTCTCTCTTATCACCAGTGTTGTGTTTTCTTATCAAGCAAAAAAAATTACACTAACAGTTTCTCGACTCACGTTTTGAATTTCTATTGTTTTTTTAACTGTACTGTGCATCAATTTCAATTTAATCAACACAGCATATAACTTTTACGCTGCACTTCATTTCGAGCACTATTTTATTAACTGCTTTTTATATTTTATTTTTATAAAAACGCAGTACCAGACGTAATGTGTTTATTAAAATTGTACAAGAAAATATATTACATGCGTCAGAGGAATATTTATGGAGCTTTATGGAGATATGCTTAACTACTAACATGGTTTTAGAAAGAAAGAAATGAAAAAATCTGTCACGTGATTCTGTCTTGCTATTTTTACTTTCGACGTATTCAATTTTTGTTTTTATTTATGTCTATTTATCAATTTTGTTTAAATATTTATGTTTCTTTGTACATTGCCAATTTTTCTATATATATATATATATATATATATATATATATATATATATATATGTGTGTGTGTGTGTGTGTGTGTGTGTGTGTGTGTGTATATTCATGCATGTATCAAGAATTTATCTAATTATTAAAATTTTGTAAAATAAATGTAATAAATGATATTATTAACTTATTATTTTTGAAAAAAAAAAAATTTCTCTCAAGCTGTTTGTTCGCTAAGTTATTTTTGTATTTAGTGGTTATTTTGTATAATATAAATTCATTACGCATACCGAACGTTATATTATATTTTTAATACTGTAAAGTGATTCATTATCAGTATGACAATTCATGCTAATTTAATATATTATATAACATGAGCCGTTTTAATCCGAGAAAATTTCTATTATTATACTGTTGACAATGTACGTGTAGTGCAATTAAACAAGGCTCGTCTCGATGCACTAAGAAAATTGAAATTTCCATGATCATTACAAAAATAAGAGTGAACGGTGCTTGTTTTAAAGCATCGCTTCACTCGCACTATCACAATGGATATTGAGCTTCTACGAAGCGCAAGACAGAATTACTTAAAACAGTGGGCACGTCATTAATATCGACAAGTATGTATGTACCAGCGAGGATCGACAATGAAAACCTAATAAATAACTAAGAAAGATAGATAAACGTCGACGGTACTGTGTTTTTATCACCATTCATTTATGATTTGCTGGCATGCAGTCGCGGCTCGACGCCGGAACCGTCCTCGTCGTCCTCCCGCTCGCTTCTGCCAATCATCAGCAAGGATCGCCAGGACTCGGCGACGAGCAGCGCCGGGAGCACACCGACGAGGAAAAGCCAGCCGATACATCGCTCGCGCACCGGCGGACCCCTGGACGGAGGTGACATCGACGCGCCCAGGACCCCTAGTCCCACTAAGAGCAAGCTCAATTTCCTCGAGGGATTCCGAAATACGCTGCGTGCTCGCTCCCCAGTGCGCATCGGCTCCGTACCGGTGAGCACACACATACACACGCCCACGTACACCGACACTTACCGCGCGCATATGCTCACGTACGTATTGGACACACGGTCATGGACAAAGTAAACGGGTCGCCAAAAAAAAAAAAAATGTGGGTACGGTGCTTGGAAATTTTATTGAAAATTGTCCGTTAAAAACGAATAATATCTCATTCCCGTCAACATCTATTCACGTCTCTATTCTCTACTCCAAAATGCCAAAATTACCACTCATCTTCACTTTTATATTTTTGCCATTTTTATTATTTTCCCTCGTGTGTATAATGTGTCTAGCGGGACAAAGGCATACTAACTATTTTTATTTTATATTACGTGGACATTTATCATTTTATCCATGACTGTAAATGTATAGGAGATGACGATTATTCTTCAATCCGCAATCTCATTATTGTACGTGAGGGATATCTCGAATTTCTCTGACAAAATTCTAGCTATAACTTTGGCTTTTCTCGTAATACTTACTTTACATAATACACAATTAAATGATAAACGCGTATAATTAATTGGTTAAAGGATATCGAGACTTTGATAATGGTATTTTTTTTTACGAATAATTTATAATACTTTTTGGTTTTTTGATTTTCTATCTTATTTGTGCCTTAACCCATCCACAGTAGTGCATTAGTTTAGAAAATTATTTAGTTATTGTAGAAAATTTCTTTAAGAATTTGATTCTTTGCGAATTATGAGATCATTTATCACATTTCTTTTTCTTAGCTTTTTTTTCTTTATTTTTTAAATCAATGTACAAAATATTAAGAAAAAGAAATCTGATTAATACTCAATATATTCAATAGAAAAACATGAAAGATAAAAGAAAAGACATATTTTTGTAAAAAAAACTTGTTCGCTTAAAGTAATTCTGCTGTACTGGAATGATTCTTTTTTTACTCTTAACACATTCTCTCTTTTCTTAATTATTTAGAAAGTATTATCAATAATTTATTTTTAAAGAGTGAATCGCAGATCCGGAATTGAATAATTATTTTATTATAATCTAACTTATTCTTTACCCTTTTATACTATCAATTAGCGTAACCTAATTTCTAATAATATTACCTTATTGTGAGCTGCTATAAAAAAAAAAAAAAAAAAAAAAAACAAATTTTCAAAGTAATTTATAATAGATAAATTATTTTATTCGAGGTATTTAATAATGTCTAATAGGCGTATACCACAAATAATATAAATATTTTATTAGATAAAAATGTTAAAATAAAAAAATAAAAATTCATAATGGTAAAATATAATAAGGATATAAAGAAATATTCCCCATTAATATTTTTTTTATTACAACGATTATTTCATAAAACTTATAAAGCTTCATCTTTGAAAGTCTATTAAGCATATTTTCAATTCTCATAGTTTTACGAAATAGTCTGCTGAAAAAAGAAAAAAGGAAAAAAAAATAGCCATATAAGTTAATTGCTATCGATAAAAGCATTAAAAATAAAAAATTATCATCTATAAACCCCCTCGATTTTTTTCTTCGATATGATAATTAAATAAATTAGAAATATACGGGAATGAAAACATGAAATACGTACGTATAACTTTTAGAGAAATTTTACATCCAATTTTTTCATTTTCTTTATTCTTTCCTCTTTTCTATTCTTTCTTTTTATTTTTTTATTTTTTCTTTTATATATATATATATATATATATGTATATAAATACAAAGATATATGAAATAGTTAATTTGCATAAAGTCTTATAATCCCTTTGTCCCTGATGTATAAATTCTTAATTGCAGCAGAGGGACACTACTTCCACTTCGTTTTTCTCTTGAAGTCTGTCAGTATTACCGCTCTCTCTCTCTCTCTCTCTCTCTCTCTCTCTCTCTCTCTTTGCCTTCTGCCGTGGCATTGACAAGCAAGCCTACGTACATTTATTACTTTATCAGAAAAACAGATGGGTTTTAACAACGAGATTACAAATAGTCGTGGGGCTTCGTATCGGTGGTGGTGTATGTGCATATATCTATATATCTCGTCGCTCACAGCTGGAAAATCAATTTGCCCCGAAATACAAGCATACAGTAGAACAATAGCTACGAAATAAAAGTACATGCAAACAAAAAGCGCAAGAAGCAAATTCAATAGGAGCGTGTGTGTCTACCATTCTACCGAATAAAAATCTGCTCATCTTTTTCACTTTACCAATGATGGAAGATGGAAGAAAACTTTTTATATTGTCGATTTGGTGATGGTTTTCTCTGGTTAGCGAATGATAATTACTGTGATTAAATAAGTGCTAAAATGTTTATATTGTTACATTGTGATTTATGCTAGATGCTGACTGCTTATAAGGTACGATAGTTTTTTTGACAGCAACAACAGCAACAACAGCAGTAGCAGCAGCAGCAACAGCAGCAGAAGCAACAGTGTTTCATTCTGACGTATTTTCCAGTTGTAGACTGACATTTTAATATATTTATAAAAATGTGTGTGCTTGTAGAAAACAAAAACAAAAACAAAAAACAAAAAACAAAAAAAAAAAAACAAAAAAAAAACAAAAAACAAAAAACAAAAGAAAAAAGAAAAAAGAAAAAGAAAAAATCGAATGAAAAAAAAAGGAGATAAAAGCAAACGGTATTTCAATTGAGTCAATTAAATTTTCGCTCGATGCGACTTACTCTATTAAATTATAAAACCTAATTCGAAAAATAAGTCTACATATGGAAGAAGGAGTGTATGTATTATGGTATATGGTGAGAGATAATAAATTGCGTTGATGTGTAATTTTGATTTTTTGATTTTTTTTTTTTATACGCTATGATGAATGGCGTCTTTAACAGAACGAAACTAACATTACACCTAATTCAATTAATCGATTAAAGTCCGTACGCTAATTATTAAATAGGATTTCCTAACCAGAGCAATGTCTTGCAAGCCATTCTCAAATTTTGACTTATTATACTTTTTACTATTACAAGCGTTAGTTCTAAATTCACCACTACTCTTACACTTCTGGTTCTGGCTACCCAAACTGCTGCTGCATACTTCATATCTCTACTCTACATAGTATTATTAGCTTTCACTTGTGAGAACGATACCACTGTCGTATTAAGAAACCTAAGATATACGTTTAAATGATCTCAAAATACAAGCGGTGCTGGATGGATTCGAAGCATGTTGTTTCGCAGCATGAGCCGGAGCATGTTCACTACCTACTACTATGGTCCGCAAGGAAGAGTTTCGCACGACTAACCTACCGGTGAGAGTGTGATTCGATTAAGAATAGAAGAAATGAGTTTTGCTTCATTTCACCACATTTCTAATTAACATGGCAAATTTTTGTTTTACTTTCATTTTTACACTCTTGTGTTCTCCGACATTTTTATTGGATATTATTACAGCGCACAATTAGGTGACAGATGACAATGGCCAAAGTCAAATTGGTTTTCGCGCTCATTAATTTCCTTTATTTTATCTTATTTTATTCCATATACCTTTAATAATATCGACGTTTTGCATTATACCATTAATTTATTAAGAAATTAATAATCATGCGATTACTTTAGTTGCTTTATTTATTTATTTATTTTTATTTATTTTTTTTTTTATTTATTACTTTTTTTTTTTTTTTTTTTTTTTTTTTTTTTTTTTTTTTTTTTTTTTTTTTTTTTTTTTTGTTGTTGTTTAGAATAAGTAAGTTCTAAGCTGCTTTAATGAGAAAATAAAAATATCAACCCCTGGGCTAAAGATTGTGTAAATATTCCGTTAGAATTTTTCTCTCAGCATTCATTAGTTTAATGGCCTTGTTGCGTATTTCTAACCTACTTTCTGATTTCCTCCCGACTGGCCAAGGGGGTTAATATTCAAATTTTCATACGCTTTCGTCTCTTTAATAAATCATAATATGCTTATTACCTTTAAACGTTCTACTTTAAAAACGAACAATTTTAATAATGACGATTTTTCGTAACTGATTATATTTATAGGTATAATAATGTGATGCTGGTTTCTCTTTCATTTTCATTATTAACATCAAATGCTGTACTTTAATTTTAGTAGAACGTTTTAAGAAAAAATTATAGTTATGACACGGAAACGGGATATAAAATGAAAGTGAAAAAATGCGTTATCCAGAATCAAATCTCTCCTTAAGATTAAGATAAGATAAATTGAGTACCGATCCTTACTGATCTAACGAACAGTCGGCAATATTCTTCTTTAGCTATATCAGGTCTTCCATGGACTTCATTCGAATAAAATGAATTCAAATGGATTAGACTTTTAAATGTTATGACAATTTGAAACGTCATACGAATACTCATTTTCAATCATAAAATGTTATGTTGTCGATTGATAATGATTTTACATTCCAAAGCTTCGAGAGACATTAATGGCGCGTTTCTTTGAAATCTCATGTAATATGAGATGAATACATTACGGAGGTCAGTAAAGTGAATTTTATGTACATAAATGTACTTATTGCGATCGATGCAACTAAGTGATTAATAATTAATATGACAGATTCATTGTAGAAGATTCGAATTGTCGACTAATAAATTCGCGTTAATATACATTCAATACTAATAATAACAAATACGATACTAAAATTCGAATTTTCAAGCATAACGAAAATTATTACTACGAAATATTTAATTGTTTTTAATCATTTAAATAATATTTAAAGGATAAGGGTATGAATAATGCACTAATCGTCAATAACATTGTTATAATTTCTATACTAATATTTGCATTAAAATTCTATTGGTTTTAAAAATTGCACAAAAGAATGTATTTTTAAACAAATGTCAGTTATGATTAATGAAATTTTAATCGGTAAGTATAGTTTATCGACTTTAGATTTTTCATCGAAATTTCGTGAAGAACAATTGAAAATTAAAGTACACATTATAAGTTATAAGTTTAAAAAAAAAAAAACAGAAGAAGAAGAAGAAATTTCATGGGAAAACATGAAATGACTTTTGAAATAAGAAATTTTTTGAAAACAAAGAGAAACTAATAAATTTAGAGTGAAATTTTCAATCTTTATATTACGAATAACTATCAAATTTATATAATTTATAGAATAATTATTAATGGTGGTAAGCAATAACAACGAATTTTTTTTGTAGTTGCTCAGTTCTTGTTGAGACGTGTAATCAATCATTAATTTCCCATTGAACACATTGACAACAAAAAAAAAAAAAAAAAAAAATAAACGATAACATTAAGAATAATAAAAAATTATAAAGTTTCTTATTACATTTGTACATTAATTTTAACAGTATAATTGATAAAAAATGTAAATATATAGTACATATATAAATAACTTTTTATTGTACTAGTGTATAGTATTATTAGATATTGATTGAATGATTTATTTTGTTTGCCGTAACGTTATAAGTTTATTGAATTATTTTGTGGAATGCTAAATTTTTTGCGTACAACATATATGTATTTATTTTAATTAATGGTGTCTAAGTTTGATGTCGATTAGTAATTACATTGGGTATTTATTTAGTTTTTAATTAACTGTTGTAAGCAAGTCTTATATTTCCTTTATTTTACATATGAATGCGCCATGTATCATCGAAAATATATCGATTCTCTATTATAATATTCGAAGAAATATATATATATATATATATATATATATATATATGTGGAAATACGGTTGATGTTCGTAGAAAAGACTTACTTTCAAAATACTAAAATATACAATATACTGCATACGCTTTATTCGGCTTTTTCATTTATTAATCATACTCGAGTAAATAAATGTAAATAAATTCCGTAAGTACTTGATATGCGGCTTCCTACTTTTTCATTGAATTCTATTTTTAATTGCTTTGTTTTCAAATCAAATAGCCATTAAATAATCAACCTTGCATATGAATTAATTGAAAGGCATGCGACGGTCGTTGCACTGTTTAGTATTTTTGTTTTGGCCATTCTCGTTGAAAAACTAAAAATGTACGGCTTAGAATTGCAAATATTTTAGGAGCGCGCTCGGCCGGTAAAGCAGTAGACCCTCGAATCTTAAAAATTTCACTCTAAACGGATGAGGCGATTATTTTGACAATGAAGCAAGCAAGAATGAAAAAACGTCGATAATCCCACATGAGCAAGCCCACATTGTGACAAAGTTGCACCTCCCACGCTATAGGTCGCACCGGGTGCCAGGGTGAGACTCGCGGCGGACTGGGGCGCGCTGAGAGTCGGCGACGAGCTCGTAGTCAGAAGGCTCGAAGGCAATGGCCTCGTCGTCACCCACGCGGACAACGCCAAGCAGGAGCATTGGATACCGGCGAGCCTCATTCCCAACTCCTCGGTGAGTCGCGCCTGGTCCTTCAGACCGCGGAAGCTCAACGCCGACAGAATCGTCCCCAATGAGGTAGCTGGCAACGGAGGCAGTAGCAAGAATCTCGCGCCGCCCTGCATTTCCAGCGCCCCAACCCCCATCAAGGCCAACTCCGGGGAAGTTGCCAGGCTCGCGGTCCAAGTCTCACAGGTGAGTTTCACCGTCAATGAACACCCAACGGCTCATTCATTGGCTTGCAACACAATGAAAAATTCTCCAATGACTTTTCCATACTAAATACGCCTTATCGCTCTTATTCGACGGAGAGTAAATTAACTTGATAATTTAACGATATCTCGACTTAATAAACGACTGACTTGTGTATTAACAAAGTTAATACGCGCGACTGTGCGGCCGCTTATGACCGCTTAAACTTTAGAGTAAGTAATTGGTAGAATTGCAGTTTTTTTTTTTTCATTCTTTGAATTTTTCGGTACTACGCGAAACTGGGCCAAGAAAGTAATTGTTAAAAATAGTTGTGTCGCACATTTGACAATCGACTATATATTTATTTATTAAATTAGACGCTCAGTTCGAGAATGCTGGCATAGAGTTGAAATATTTCCGACAATATTTCTATTGATGAATTGACATTCCTCAATGGCCTATAAAAGATAAAGAATTCATTATTCATTGGTGATGTAGAAATGTAATTGAATAATGTTGGCCATTTGTTGCATAACACCAAGACGGAGGCTGCCGTGGTTGTTTGGAGAAGGGAAGGACAGGATAAGGATATTCAGGAAAACGAGAGGTACAGATTGCGCCAGAGCGCCGGATTCTTCTATTTGGAAATTACGAGATGCAGACCCGCTGATTCAGGAGCGTACTGTTGCAGTATTCAATGTGAAAATGGCTCGTGTTCAGCTAGAATTTACTTATCTGTCAGTGGTAAGTCGAATTTTATATTTAAAAAAAAAAAAACATATATATATATATATTTCTGTTTTTTTTTTTTTTTTATTTATTATTATTATTATTATTATTGGCATTTAGCAAATTGATTTTTAATTATGCGAGAGATTTCTTCGCGGATAATTCTTTCTAAGAATAATAACATCGACAACGATACCGTTAGTATTATTGTAAAATTACTTCTATTAAACGTTCTATTAAACGTTCGTTAAACGTCTGATAAAACGGAATATTCATTATTCAAGACTTAATGTCGTAAGCACTAGCTATCGCTCCCCGACAACCCGCTCTTTCTCAATTTATAATCGATCGAAGCTATCGATCGATTTCACCTTCGATCTTCTCGCCAGCATCTCAACGATACGCTGCGCAGCCTAAAGCCATAGCCAGTCAAATATTTCAATTAGGTACGTTAATAAGCAATGCCCGCAATTGGATTCCTTAGGTGGTACGGGAACGACGTGGGCGCGCGTCCTGGACTCGACGCGTATCGAGGTCGACTGGGAGGGCAAAGAGATCGGCAGATGCGAGGTCGAGTACCGGTCGATGCCCTCGACCAACTGGACGACGGCCCTCGAAGACATCGAGAGCCCACCAGTGGTGCTGGATCTGTTACCGGGCGCGAGCTACAGCTTCCGTGTCGTCGGCAAGAACGGCAGCCTCACCTCGGCATCGCCCGTTGTCAATCTGCCGCTTGGCGACGGGACCGCCTGGGAGGCCGAGCAGTTCGTCGCCAGGTGCGTTACACGTACTTCTCGGGGGTCCCTTGGAGGTGATGGGTGGGGATGTGGCACTCCCCATACACTCCCCGGTCACTCCTTGGTTTCTCTTACGCTCCTTGACGCTCACCATCCAAGCCCACGACACGACTTAATAACGGCCCATCTATCGTCCCCCAGGTACTTGGAGCTCGACGAGATCGGCAAGGGGAGATTCGCAGTTGTGCGACGCGCAAGAGACCGAGGAACTGGCCAGGAAGTAGCCCTGAAGCAAACTCCTCGGCAAAAGCAATCGAGATCGTTAACGCGCGCCGAATACGACTTATTGGCGTCGACGCATCACGGCAACATCGTGAGGGCATTTGCACTCTTTGAGAATGCACCGCAGCTTGGAGTGGACACCATTGTATTGGAGCTGTAAGTCGCCGAGTGGATAATATATATATATATATATATATATATATATATATATATATATATATTTAGGAAGAACGTTTTTTTCATCAACTTTCTAAATCCACCTATTTCAGTGGACATTTCAAATCTTAATGCTAATCGTACCAATGCGCGTTGGACGTGGCTAACCTGCACCTTCCGTATGGATCTTTAAGTCTTTTTTTTCCTCACCCATCATTTTCTAAATAGACCGATCGCGCTCATCGCTTACGGTATTGATAAACGATAAAGATCATATATATTTCACAATCCTAATATCGAGTGATAGGAAAACGTCAGTTTGTCGCAATTCATTGATAAATAAGCGAGTGATTTGATCGTTCATTCGAAATATTCGAAATATTCGAAATATTCGAAAAAACATCGCGTGACCTGGGATTCGAATTTTGTCTATTGGGAGTAAATTGTATTGTTGAGTAATCGATAAGCAGTTGAATGTGAAGTTTCAATTTTCTCGGCAATTAGTAGGGAAACGATTAGTAGGGAATAAATATAATGGATAATTGATGGATATAATGAATGACAGGCTTTTCTTGATTATCAAATGATAATGAGAGAGCAAACCTGGTAAATGAAGTGAGTGAGAATATTAATTCAGTTACCTACGATCGTTAACTAAAATAATTTCCAGAGTACGAGGTCCGACGCTGTTTTGCTACTTGAGCAAAAAGACCGAGTATACGGAAAGTATGGCCAGCAAATTTGCAAATCAACTGCTCTCCGGCCTGCAGTGGCTGCACCGTCGCGACAAGGCTCACCTTGACCTTAAGCCGGAGAACGTCCTTGTCGACCAGGATACGGGTATCGTCAAGCTCATCGACCTGGGCGAGGCGGTGCGTGGACCCGTCGACGAAGTCGTACCCCCGGCGGACCTCGAGTTCGCTGCACCCGAGTCGGTCCTCGGCAGACCGGCCGGACCCTACACCGACATGTGGGCCGCTGGCGTTTTTATTTATGTATTACTCAGGTAACCGACCTATCGTCGTCACGCGCGCTTTTACATGTCAATCGTTCGACCAATGACGATTAATTATATGTTCGAAAAGCCCGCTATGCTCTTTAATAGAGTGGCGGGAGGGATGGGACGAGGTAGCATTTGAATTAAACGATTGATAATAAGACAAATTCAACGTGTAATCTATTATTTACGCTTCTTTCAGCGGACTTTCTCCCTTCTTGGATGATTCGGTCGAAGAGACCACGACGAATATTCTGAAATGTGATTTTTGTTTTCCCGACGAATATTTCGAGACTATATCAAACGAGGCTAAAGATCTACTCAGCAGGCTACTTTGCTTGAGGAGCGAGGATCGAGCGAGTGCCGAATTTTCCTTGACATCGTCGTGGTTTAAGGTACGCCAACTAATCCTCGCTCGCCATTTGAAATAGAACCCTACCGAAGGAATCTTCGATAATTCATCTCTCCCTTAATCCTCAGGTTTCTAAAGGTGCTACTATACCCTCGACGAGAATGGCAGCGTTCACGGAGCGACGAGCGCACTGTTCTAAATCACATCGAGATCATCGCAACAGCTTCTATACTTAACATACTTTTAGCCAATTATCAAATGCGACATATTGATTATTTTATGTGTAAATACAAAACGTATTTAAATTTTGTAAATCGCTCTGTTAATTATTTGATTCCATTCCATGCCACATAAGCCAATAATTATATTTGAAAGAGTATGAGATTTAATTTTTGTCTTGCTTTTCATAGTAATTTATTTGATAATGTTTAAATATTTGTAAATGATTTGTTAAACTGCAATTCACTGTGTTTTATGTATCACGAGGTAATGCTTGGTGAAACTAAGCCTCAAATATTTTATATTGTTTAATATTTATTTTCCGATAATAAAATGTGAGTATTTTTTAAACAACAATTTTCCAATTGTGTATAATTGACTCTATATCTTCCTGAAAATTACAACAAAATATAACATTTATATTTCCAATTTCCAATTTTTTATGTGTATGCACGTGAAGCACTGATAAATTTTGCTAAACCCAATGGTTATATGCGGAATAACTATGAACGTTATGAACGTTTGGTTTTATTGATTACAAGTACGATTATTAGTTTAAGTACTGTAATTACATACATATATATATATATTTATTTATTTATTTATTTATTTTAACTTTTTAGCCAATTTGAAAAGTTCAAAAATTCTATTTTTTTTATATATATAGATTTATCAATTTAAATATGAGATATTTAAGCATAAATTGACTTATTAATACTTACACATTAATCTCTTTATAAAAATACTATATTCCTTATAAGGGAAATTAAAATTGACTTTGTTTAACCAACAAAGCGTTTTATTCAAGTTTTTATTTTTCTTCTATTGCTTAAAATTCTTCATTCAATTTCTTCATAAAATTTTTCATTCAATTCAATGAAAAATGTGTTATTAAAACTTCTACAAATTTGATATAAATTCATATTAAAAAAGTATTTTTTTTTTTTTTTTTTTTTTTAATTTCATTATTTACATATCTATTGTTATTATTATTATTATTATTATTATTATTGTTGTTGTTGTTGTTGTTGTTGTTGTTGTTGTTGTTGTTGTTGTTGTTGTTATTATTATTAACGTAAAATGAAATGACGACACGAAAATTGTCAATATTTTTTCTAATTTTCTATTTTACTTTTAGTATTATAAATTCATGAATTCATGTACTGAAATTGAAATACATCACTTTTTCTTAAATTCTTGCCTACGTCAAATATATTATTAATATTGGCTTTTAACAGAATATTTTGTAATATTAAATCATTAGTTTATTTACACCCTTATAGTGATGAAAATTCTGAAAATATATATGGGATAAATTTTCTAAAAATATTATCTAATTATAGTAATAACAATAACAACAATAATAATAATAATAATCAATTAAATGTTAAAATAATCATGTAATTTTTGTAAATTGAATGTCTTAATATCTTGTTGAAAATGGATGTCGAAGCTTCGTAAAAAGTACTAAAATGAAATTGTTTACAAATAAATTATATGATGATCATAATGCAATAAGGCAATTCGTGACTTAAATTTGAAAAGATATTAAAGTATACTTTTAGAAACGACATGGCCCATAAATCCTCTACTAATTCACCCTGTAAATGTAATTTCAACCGTAAAAATGATTTATTTAAAATTGCCGTGATTATTATTATAAATGCATTGTTATGCATATTATAATGCCTAGATTATTCAAAACATTGATATTTAGATATTGTCAGTCCCGTGCAGTCCCATTATATAATACATACGATGAGGAATTTATATAATAAAGTTCGTGCCGAGTAAGATGATAATGCGAGTCAACATAGTTGCAAACTGTCAAAACACCTGTTTTTGCGATGTTGCTCTTGAAATTTTGCACGAGCGGCAACACGGCCAAATTTCGCGGGAATCTTCGACGTTTCGACGGAAATCGACCATTGGGTGTGTTTGGACGGTATACCGTTTGCGCGTCGTCAACAAAATTTCTCCCTTCGCTTGCCTCCATTCCCAACGACAATTTCGTAACTTTTGTATTCTCGGCCCGGAGAAACGAAACAAGCAAAACAGACGCTCGTCCAAATTTTAACGCTGAAGTACAAAAAAAAAAAAAAAAAAAAAAAAAAAAAAAAAAAATAAATAAATAAGTCGTTAACGTTAGTAGTTTAGTAGTGCCGAGGAATAAGTATTTAAAGGGATAATGAGCAGTGAGAAACCTACGGACAAAATGTTGGAAGACGAAGAGAACTCGGTGACTATGCTTGATGTTCTCCAAGAGGAAAACGATCTCGAGGAGGATGTCAACGCTGTTCTCGGGGCCTCCGATGATCAGAATTGCACCTACAATAAAGTAATAGCAAATTTCTCACATAACCTCTTTTTTCTCTTTTTTTACTTAGCTGCCGAGTAGAATTACTCGGGCACTTTCCTAGCTGAGCCTCGAAAGAGATATTATGCAGTGCCTCTGAGGGCTTATAACAGCAAAAGCCGAATCATTTAATTGATTCTACCTCGTATTACTTTGTTCAACATTTATTACACAAAATCTTTGCGTTGTCATGAAGTTTCTTCTTTGTGGAAAATTTAAGAATTTACAGCCATCTTTAAATCGTAATGTTTCGATTGACAATAAAAATAATATAATATATGTTCTTATTGATTCTTATTCAGTATTCAAATAGCAATTATCATTCTTTTGATATAAAACATAATTGTCCGCGAATTAATTTCTGCTAAATTCTGATGAACACGTTAAATTCTGAAATTGTATTTACCTTTGACATGGCTTTTATAAAAGTGATAGACTGTATTATTTATTCCGTTAAACTCAATTTCAACGGCTTCTTAATACAAGATATTTTTCTAAATACAATGCTTTAATTACAGTTTAATTATTGTACTATACACAATAATAATATAGTGGACTTGAGTATGACAAAAATATCAAAGATACAGGATCATGTTATCCATTTTTAGGGATATATTCGGCAAGCTTTATATGCCTGCAAGACGTGCTGCAGTAAAGGAACGAGGGCTGCCATTTGCTTCGCTTGTTCTCTTCACTGTCACGAAGGGCACGATCTCGTCGAACTTTATACTAAGAGACAAGTTAGATGCGATTGTGGAAATACAAAATTTGGAGACAAAGCGTGCGGTCTTGAATCCGTAAGTTAATGGTTAAATTGTTTGACTAAACAAACCAATATGGACCAAAGTGTTTATAGAAAAAAAAATTATTCTTCATTGTTAATTTAAAAATTAAATTAAGTTAAAAAGATATTACATATTGAGAGTAAATATTTCATTAAAGTATATTAATTAATTTTTACCCTAATAACGGTTATTATGTTAAAGTAAATTTATTTTAGTCAAAATTACCTGTAAATACCGACAACAAGTACAATCAGAACTTTGACGGTGTTTATTGCATTTGCGCAAGACCTTACCCAGATCCAGATGAGACCGAAAGTGACGAAATGATTCAGTGTGTAATATGCGAAGACTGGTATCATTCAAAGGTACGGAGAATGTCTTAATATACATAAAACATTAAATGCAAATATATTATATTCAATCTATATTATAAAATAAATGTAATTTTAGCATTTAGGTAACGGAGAAAATCTTCCTAATGACAATGATTACAGTGAAATGATCTGTGCTGGATGTATGAAATCTCATGAATTTTTGTGGCGATATGCAATTAAGTACTCTGGTAAGTTAGTCAAAATATACTTCTTATATAATATTTCATACACGAGTCTTATAAAAATAATAGTAATTAATATTGAGAACTATCTATTTTTTATGTATTAAAAATTCATAGATATAAATAAAAAAATTTGTTGAGAAACTTGGAAATTATTTTCTTAAAAATTATATTTCAATGTAATCGAATGCAAAGAATATTTTTAATTTTGTATTTTAATCTCAGTGTTGTAGAAGAAATAAATTTAGAATAAATGCAGTGCAGAAATAAAATTTAGCATATTTATTATTTGTCCTAGTGTCTAAAAGTAAGAAATGCCAAACCAATAAAGAAGAGAAATTAGATGTCGTAGAAAACAAAAATGGTTGCATTTTGCCAGAGAGTGATTTTCCTAAAAAAGAAGGAAGTTGCTTTTGGATCGAAGGTTGGAGATCATCGTTATGTACTTGTGATAAATGCAAACATGTAAGTATTAAGTAGAAATTTTCAATCAATCCTTTTTATGGGATATCATCAATGTATCAAGTGTTTTTTAAAAATTTTTAAAAGAAAGCTTTTAAAAAGTGTGCCCTGATGAAAATTTGTTTATTTTACTTTTAATTGAAGTTTTGATTGTCCATTATTAAGTAAAACATCTTCAAGATGTTGAAGAATGTACCGAACATTGCATCCAATGATCGATTGTTTATGCAATTTAGGCATTATAATTGATAATGAATAATTCAAGGAAAATTTGCATACAACATTTTCAACGGCTATAATGAGCTCGTTGTTGTTCTGTTATTTATTATTTCATTTTCAGGTTTACGAAGAAAATGCAGTAGACTTCTTGCTCGATCCCTTAGATAGTGTTCAAGTATACGAAGAGGCTGGTAAAGTAGGTAAAAAAGAAACTCAGTACGAAAAAGGAATGAAAGCACTTGCTTCCCTTGGTCACGTTCAGCAATTAAACGCCATCGAGGAGTACAATAATATGAAGGAAAATCTAAAACAATATCTTCAAAAATTTGTCGAGAATAAAAAAGTTGTACGAGAGGAGGACATTAAGGAGTTTTTCTCCGAAATGAAGTCACAAAAGCGTCCGAAGGTCGTTGTTCCGACTTTCTGCCGTTAAAAAGATTCGCGTGCCAGGCGCGAATAATAGATTAAACTTTGTAAAGGAATTTATTTAAATTGAACGAAATGTCATTTGTATACTGCATTTTACAAAACTGTCAATGTGACGGAGTATTTTACTTTTTTTGTTTTTTTCATCATTTTTTTTTTTTTTTTTTTTTTTTTTTTTATTTTTTAAAAAAAAAAACCCCCCCCCTTTTCAAAGGAAAAAAAAATCACGTACCTTGTCATAAGGTCGTCGTTCCGGCATTATGACGTGAAAGATTCCTATTCATTGTAATTATGACAGATATTCATTACTTTTATAAAGTGTATTAAAATTTTACAACAATGTGTAAGATGATATTTATGCAATAGAAAGACATCATCGAAAAGTAGTATTTTTTTTATTCTTTTATAATTTTAAGAGCTCCAGTGTATAACTTCATCAGCTATGTGATAAAATAAAAGCGACACGTTTTTTGTAATAAGTTTTTATATACAGCTGTTCCTTTTATAAAATACAATTATTATTCATTCGCATTAAGTTTAATATTAATGTGACACCTTGTTGTTGTTTTTTTTTTGTTGTTTTTTTTTGTTTTTTTTTTCATTGTTGCTAATTTTTTCTTTTGCTTTTTTTTCTTTTTATTTCTTTGCCCCCCTAATAACAGTAGTATTATGTTGATTTCCATATAAGTTAAAGAAGAAAGGCTTATTTTCTATAAAATATTGAGTTTGTATCCTTTAATTGAAGGGGAAGTACGACGACAGGTTCGTTGGTATTCGGCTTGTCCGTGTATATTGACCATGTTTTTGCAATACAGTCGAAAATTCCTATAAAAAAGAAAGAAAAAAGCAATATTTTATTAATCGATATGTGGGTATAATTTTATTTTATTGCCTCGTAATTTACCCGTTGCTATAGTTTTTACGTAATCATCCGGTCGAATATCTTGATAAACTCTGAAATCGTCATCCGTTTGATCACTGAGGATCTCCATGATTTCCTTTCGATTTTTCGGTGGAGAGTGTCTATTAATTGCCTGCATCCTGTGGATGCTGCTGTCGATGATCAAGCCCTCGACCTCGGCCACTTTAAGACGCAAATATCTGAAATTAATCCATTCGTTAAGTTGAAAAATAATTAGAATGCACGAGCATTAGAAATGCCTAATCTAAGACGGAGATAGTTTTACAGCCTCTTCCAATCGAACGAATTGCGTTAATACCGACGTAACTGATCCCCTTGTTTGCTTTTACATCGATAATACGCGCGATCGATCGGATTTCATTAAGTCTTCGAAGATAATTCCGCTCTATCGAATTTACTGGAGCGTAACGAAGCGCAAGGGGTCTCGAGCTGCAAAAGCTACTTTATCCAATAGATCGAGAGAACTTTGTAAATTTTAAGCCACGGCGTTTCGCATAAAACGACCAGATTGCGAACGTACTTGTTGCAGTGGAAGAGATTCTCCCCGGGACTCGCGGTCTGCATGCTCAATTGGGAGCTCATTTCGCCGACCTCGACCGGACCGACCTCTGCGTTATGGAACATCCGGTCGCCCTCCTGATCGAGGAAGGTCATGTTGACGGAGAAGCCCTCGGCGGCACCGTAGCCCTCGTTGCGCAGGCACTCCTGGGCCTGGACGTAGTTCTCGACGCCGAGAAGGGCGCGGGTCATGAAGTATCTGGCTGTCGGGCAGGACAATGGGCGGCCGGTTAATCGAGCTCGGTGAAAGTCACCGAAGATACGGTCGTACTTTATTAAGACCGGTTATTAAATTTCGTCTTCGAATGTTTGATAAATGTCAAATGCGCGACATTGTATACTTGATCGGTAAATTTTGTCCCACATAGACACTTTCATTCTCGACAAATTAATTCATAATTGCGTAAATTGTTTGGCAATTGGTGGCTCGTAAAGCGCTCGATTATGCCAATACGTTAGACGCGAGTTACACGCAATAAATATGATCTTTTTCATTATTAAGATTTTATAAATTCTCTTTCATATGCTTCATGGGGCTTTGTAAAAATTCAGTTGGCATATAATTTCTGACTTTTCTCCCTTTCTCCGCGCTTATGACTTTAATAACGAAACGATTGTCGATGCTGCCTAGCACTTTGTGGCTTTATATAATGAATTTACGTGTACTCGGTGTTGGTAAAATTATCGATAGTTAACGCGATAATCTTTAAAATATGAATTCCTACAAGAGTCGAGATAAGCTTTGATCTAAAATTAAAACTCGCGTTTTCTTCTTACTTAATATCCTTAATTATATTGCAGGCCTCGCGTGATTTAAATAACTTAACACGAACATGTCTCAACATTGCCTATTTACTAATTTATAAATTTAATATGTACATAACTTACGTGTTCTACCAGATCGAAGAGTTTTTGCACTCAAAGTATTAATACTGTACACAAGTCCGTGATGATTGTAACCCATCGTATATCCTGGCAGAAATCCTGCGTAACTTAGCGAAGTAAACTTCTCTTCTTGATAGCCGAGTTCGATGATATGTGCATCCACGAGATACCAATGATTCATGGTTTCTCTGAGCGCATCTTCGTTGTGGCCCAAAATTTCCTTCGATCGATTAGGATTTCGATTTATCATTATTATTATTATCATTATTGTGTTTGTTATTATTGCTATCGTTGTTACAATGTTTGCTATTACAGCGTTCGGTTATTTATTCGCAATGGGTTTATATGGATTGAAATTTGTTGTAATAATAACGTCGGTGGATTTTAGAATAATGTTTTCTTGTAACTAATAAACGCACTTTATTTTCAGGCATTTTTAAGTATCGCCGTTATGAAACAATTATCACAGTATTCGAACATAGAGAAACATAATCAAATAATAGTGTGCAAGTAATGACACGTGTATCAGGGTTACGTAAGGAAGCCGTAATTTGTTGAATTACACATAATACTTTATTATTACTTTAACAATAGAGTTTATGCTACTTTTTTTTATAAGATCTTTTAATTATACGTTAATTTTCATGTTTTATTAAAGCTTTTTGATTAAAAAGGAAAAAAAAAAAAAATTGAAGAAAAACGGACAATGCGCGTTATAGTGAATTTTTTTCATATGAAATGTACATCTATCGAGTTTCTAAAGTAAATCATAAGTCGCAATACAGAGATTATATTCACAGCAGCTGAGCTTTTGAAATCCGAGAGAACAATCATTTAGACAGGATGATAAAAATAAATAGAAACAATTTTGTAATTATATTCAGAATGGAATAGAAATAAGAACTTGTTGTCAATTATAATTAAGGTATGTAAAAGTGAAGAGAACTAAGAAAAAAAAAATTGATACCCACAGACATTTACAATTAGTCTTTTAAAAATTAACTTATTAAAAATGAGCTATTCATAAATTGTTTATTCTTTGGACTAATTAATATTAAATATTCTAAACATCTTAAACTTTGAAAAATTTCTATAATTATTTAACATTAGGATGTTATCAATGCATATTATTATTTCTTTATGCATTTCGTTTCACATACCTCGGCCAATTACTTTGTATTTTAACATTATCATTATTATTATTATTATTATTATTATTATTATTATTATTACGCAGTTATTATAACGAATATATAATGAAAATGATTTAATAGGATTGTCTTATCATTAACTAATTATTTTATATTTACTTTCTTTCTATCGATTTGTTGAATATCAATATAAAAAGTAGTAGTAGTAGTAAAAAAAAAAAAAAAAAAAATAATAAAATTCCAATTACAAAAAATCTTAACAATGACAAAATGACGTAACGAACGAATGGAATAACAACGGTTTTTTATGAACGTATGAGCCCTTCGAATGAAATTCCCTTCTACGGCGAAGGAAATTCAATTTAATACAAATTATGTTAAATGATGTATAGTAGTGTGTGCATTCTATTTAGCACGAAGGAAAGACTTTGACACACTTTTTTTTCCCAGTTACTGTTCCCTATTTAGATCTGCATTACCTAAGAATTAGTCCGCTCTCTTAAAGGAATTATTCTGCATCGTTTGTCTGGTTTCAATCAATATTATTCTGAGAAATTTTATTGTACATACCTCTACATGTCATAAATAATTGCGAGACATTGGTGTCTTAATATTATTTAAGAATTTTAAGTTAACGCGAGAACAATTTACGTTACATAAGCATTAAAATTAATAAAACACATTTATTTTATGATTCTAATTGGAGAGCAATCACATTACAAAAGCTATGGAGTCTTGAAAATATCAAAATCAAGAACATATTTTTCGAAAAAAAAAAAATTTCTATTACAAAACTAATATTATTGTGGATATGAGTAAATTCTATTAATAGGCCAATGCAATCTTCTCTACGGCTTCCGCATGCTTTCAAATATTCCACATCGCACTTTTGTTACGAGAGCGAGACGGATTTATATTGTCAAGGCAGCTCTGTTTAGTATTCGCGGTTTGTGGTAAATGAAACTTGATTTTACTTAAATTACAATAACACATAAACTAAATGTGCAATGTGATATTTTATAGACATTTAAAGACAATTTTTAAGTAATTTTTAATGGTGTATATTTACAAAAATATTGAACAAATTTTTATGTATGTAAATAAGTTAAATCTCGTTCTTGTCAGATTGTTAATAGTATGATTGTCGATCAGAAAAATATCGCGACATTTTATAGTCCTCTCGAGCCAATTGGTGAAACTAATTAAAAATTGTATATTTTATTTGATTAAGCGTTAATATCCTTATCTAATTTTCAAACGATCATGATTTTCATACTAATAATTTTTTTATTTAACATTACATCGACGCAAAATTTTTACGTACTTTTTTACGTTTTTTTTACTTTTTTATTTATCGATAGAAAACAAAAAAATTTAGAACTTAGTATTTGTTGACTTGTCGTTAAACTTGTGTCAACTTAGTGCTGGGATAGTTAATAAATATGGTTTGATTACATGTAATATACATTATGTCATAAGAAAATATGCGTGACAAGTGTCACAAGAATTTATAATTCATATATAAATCTTGAGGAGATAAATTGTAAATAACTTGGGTATGCAAATATTGAAAATAAATTTATCGTTACGCTTGGAGTTTCATTTTTTTTTTTTTAATTTTTTTCAAAGCCCTTCGTAGTAATTGTCGTTTATAATTTTTACTTTTGATTACATCACTTGGAGTGAAACGGCAACAGTCAATTATTTTCCCTTGTTTAAGCATTGAGACTGAACATTTTTTGCCTCGACATTTTTTGCAAATAAATGAGCGTCTCGAGCGATACTCCTGCCCTCGTCTAAAATCTTTAGGTAATTGGATAATCCTGATACTCGGGGTAATTTGACCTAATTATTCGTAATCGAGATGGAAATATTCATTAAATTTCAAACGCTACTTATTTCTCGGAAAAGAAACAAATAAGCGGTAAAGTAGACCACATGTGTTACCTGTCCTGGCTGATTACAGATAATGGAAGAGCAGCCAACCGCGTTTGTATTTCCTTGTAAGCCGTTTGCCGCCACATTAGGCATGATATCATCAATGTGCATCAGGAATAACTGAGGATTGAATCACATTGTCACGAATATGTTTTATTTTTCTCATTTGCCTCTTTCGAGTATTCGCTATTATGTGGATACTTTTCGTTGGTAGGTCAACCGAATTTATATATTTCATTTGAGTTTCATTATTGTGTAGAGATTGCCAATTTTCACGATAAAGAGAAATAATGCTTCCGGCCGAATTGATCAAGGATTTTCATTTATGGCTGTTTATCATCTTACTCGACGTTGCCCGCGCCATGGAGGATTATATTGCACGTATTCCATTGGACTGCAAAATGTCTTTGAACATTTTTTAATATCACGTTGAACGCGATTATTTTATAGTTGGATTTTGTATTCCGTTACTCTCGATGGGAATTAAAAAAATTTATCGTAATGATTTCCGCGGGATTCTTTAATGTTAAAACACCGATGCTTGCTATTATCGAACAACATTTCACTACAACTTTATTTAATTCAGCTCGTTTAATTGATCTTTATGGCTTTTTCCATTACGATTATTTTATTGCGTAATCGATTGATTGTCAAAATATTTGTTTTAAGAATACGTATGTGCAATTGTCATTATTATTTAAAAAAATTATTAATGGATATATTATTATAGAAATATTAAATGAAATTAATTACTTGAAATTAATAACCACCAACTTATTTTTGTTACAATTGTTTTTTATTCAAATTAATTTTTTTTCTTTTCTATTCAAATTAATGAAAATTAATAATTCAGATTAATCACTTGATTAATACATTTAATAATAAGGATAAACAAGTTTTGTTTTCTCGATAATTAAAATGCTCAATTTTAGATTTTAATAGATGCTGTCAGTCACAAAATTATGTATCAAATACGATTACAGGAAATCTTATTCATTATTTTTATAAAAAAAAAAAAAACACATTTAAAATGTAAGAACAATCAGTTTTTGTAATCTTTAGAATTAGAATGCAGCAGAAGTTTAGATTTATTAGTTGCTGTCTATCACAAAATTATGATTCATTAAATACGATTACTGGAATTTTTTTTTTTTTTTTTTTTTTTTTTTTTTTTTTTTTTTTTTGTTTTAATACATTTAAAATGTAAGAACAATCAGGTTTTGTAATCTTTAGAAGTAGAATGCAAAATTTTAGATTTATTAGATGCTGTCTATCGGACAATTATGAATTATCAAATGCGATTACTGAAATTTGTTGTTTTTCTTCTAAATAACTAATGGAAATATCTTTAATATTGAAAAATCCGTGTAATAATGTTAACTTCAATATCTAATGATGTATAAATGCGATGACGTGAAAAATAAATCTATCGATCAATTATCAATGTTATTTCCATTTTTTTTTCCCCCATCAAATATTCTAGAACTTAATTGCTATCTTCATTTTCTTAATCCCAAGTTTCGACATTCATAACAAAATGTCAAAATTACATCATAAAATAATACTATAAATAGGTAGTCTCACCTTGTAGAATGGCACCTCGGATCCATCTGCCGTACCCTCCATTTCACGAACATATTGCGGATATTGTTTTTTCACGCATTCCAAAGTTTCTTCATAAACTTTTCGGCCAGGTTCTGTGTTGTATACCGACAAATAGACTTCATTCAAAGGTCTGTACCGATGCACAAAGTCTTGTATCATCTTGGCGAACGTCCTTCCCTACGTTAAGAAATAAAATGAAAGTGGCACGGTACCGATGACATCTTCCCTGCAACTTTTTATTATATAATCCAGCGAAGGATGTGGTTTAATTTTCGAGATGAATTATAATATCGAATTCGCTTATGTACATTATCTTTTCTGAGTGATAATAATCATTGCATTTACGAATACTGCATAAATGTGTAGAGTCCTATCTAATTAGAAAACAATAAAGTACTATTAAGCTATTTTTTTTTTATGTTTTAGAATTAATTGGTTAAGGCATCTCTTTCAATTCTTATATGATTATTATTTTTGATCTAGTAATTTGTAGTGAATTTTCATGGTTATCCTTCTTAATTGAAAAGATCCAAAGCTATTTAAGCTGTTGGTTATGTTTAAATAATAATTTTTATTTGATGTAACACTTAACGTTCAATATTATATAAAATTGATGTCCGCCTCTATGTTTTATATTTTTTTATTCTTACCGTGCCTGTTAATACCTAATGTCGTTTAAATATTATCGATGTGAAACAATGAAAAATCTAATAATTTTTTTTTAATGCTATTTAAAATATCATGCAATTTACGAGAAAAAGTCCAGATTTTAAATAATCTGTTCGTAAAATTAAAAACAATTTTTCAGATTACGTAAGGGAATAGGTATAAAGGTAATTTGATTAAAAATTCATGTAATTTCGACTAATTCGTTAACTCAATATTTTATAATACAATTATAATTACAATTACAATTAATTTATTATCGTTGTATGCAATTTATAATGAATTGTGAAGAGAATTTTGTAAAACAGATAAAAGTATGAAAATATTGTAATTCTTTTTTTATTGTTCTTGATGCTTTTCTAATATAATTGTCATTTACACTGTCAAATTGACCGATTAAATGAAAATAAAATTAATATAAAATCTCGGTTAATTAAAAATACTTAATTATAATCTGGAAATCTAAAGAATAATTAAGAATATTCTATTTCAGATAAGAATTGCATTAAGAAGCTTATGGCGATAGAAGCAGCCCTTATAGAAAAATTTATCAAAAAGTTACTCAGAATCGAACGTTGTTCTCTTATTAAACATTAATCCATCAAATATCAAAGTGAACTGTTTAAGAAAATTAACGGGACATTATTTAATAATCATTAGATAATTATAAGCTAAAATTTGAAATTTAAAATACTTATAGTATTATTCCCGGGACTATTAAACCAATCGTTTTAGCCTGTATCACTAGTGCTTATGAAATTTCTTTTATTTACATTTACATTTGGTAATTGATTTTGACTAATTAACGACGGTTAATGTCAATTCACTATATCAATAAACAAGTTAGCCGCTCTATTACAATTTTATTAAACACATTAGAAATTAGAATTTTTATAATTGCATTGACGAACGAATGCATTTTCCGATGACAAATCTTAATAGGAATTAAATACTTAAACAATTTTCGATATTTCATAATTTAATATTCAAAATTAATATGTTTTCACGCAGATTTTTAAATTCTCAACTTTAATATGTGATTCGTATTGTGTAACTAATGTTCGTGGATTCTTTTTTGTCAGGTTATCATCAAGTTATGTTTTAATTTGTAAAAGAATGTAAATTATATAGACATTAAAAACGTATATTTAGAAACATATTAGAAAGGTGAGAAAACAACATTCGAGTATCACAGAAGAAACTACATGGCCGTTCTAAATCTAACGTGTAAAAATTATCTGCCATACGTGCGAACCATAGCAAGGATATTTAAAAAATATTTCGCAATCGAAGTCATGTATCAAGTGTATGGCTCACCTTAACTAGCTCCCGCTTATTTTCATTCTCATTGAATTAGCATAATACAATGAGTGCCATTTTTTCTTTCATTTTTATTTTTATCGAATATACTTTATTGCGCATTGAGATTTTATCGATAAGGCACAATTGCATGTCTTTGCCTCATAAATTATAAATCTTTATGCTCCTGTTGTATTTCATAATGAATAGAAGAAGAAAAACTTTGTGCTAATCTATACAGTATACGCTACCTGTCACCTCCCTTCAATTTACACATAAAATATTTCGTTCATTACAACAACAAATAACAACGAGAAATGAATAAATAATTCTTACTACGAAATTCTGTACATCCTATTTGAAAAATGTAATAAGAATTAAATAGTGACGATACGTTGTAATCGGTTAAATTTGCCAAATATTAAAGGATTAATTTATGAGCTCGTATAATGTAACAGAGAATTTTCATTAAAAATTTTGTCCTTTTCAAGATTAGAAATATGATTTAGTATTACATATTGTCGTGTAAATGACTTTATTGTCATCACGTGATATTTAGCAACGCGTTATTATTAATTTTTAAATTATCGATATACCCTTGATCATATTACATTGTATGATTTAAAAATATGTTAAAAATTTTATAATTCATGCATATTTTTATAAGAATATTAATTTTTATAAATACAATCCATTTAATTTTAAACAATAATACTTGAACTACTAGAAAATCAGTTTTCAATGTTTCGATAATTATTGCTGTACAATGGCAATGATTATTAAATGGAAAATATATGATTCATTAATACATAGCAAACTAGCTCTTAAATAATTTGTAATTAATAGTATTATTAATTTTATACAAAAGATAAGATGTCAAAGCGATCGATAGATATTCCATTTTGACTTTATCACAATGATAAATTTTAAGAATTAGAAAAATGCTGTAATTAAAGGTATATGAGAATACATAATAATTCGAGATTGATAATCTTCGCGTATTAATTATTTTGTTTAACAAGCAACATTTATGGAAAATAATTGAAATTAATACTAGTTTTATAATGTTTAAGCTATTATAACTTTAAAACATCGTATGATAAAGATACTTAGGATATTAATAAGAATATAATTTAATTAATTCATTATTACTGTGTACGATAAATGTTTACGAAAAATGATTTTAATTAGGCTTGTAAATCAATATTATTTATAAGAATTTTTAGTAGTCATACGAGTTATGCTTTTTTTATGAATAATATTTATTGCTTTACATTTTGGAAATTCAATTTTTTATCAAATATTTCTATTTAGAAATAAATTTTCTTTCCTAATGCATTTTAATTTATTTTTTATTTCCTGATTTATTTTATTTATTTCATTATTTTCACCGTTTACAATTAACAAACAAACTGACTTTCTCTCATTATAAATATTACAATTTCTTTAAGATTATGTCAATATCGGAAATCTATATTTGTAATAAGTTTCAAATATTATTATACAGTTTTGAATAATTTATCCATTATAAAATAAACGATATTTTTCTAACAGTATTGACTGCAAATCAGATTTATATTTATACATATGAAATTGAAACGGCGATAGAAATTAATTGACTTTAATGTTTTTTTTTTTAACTCTTTTCATCTATCCCTATTATCCTTACATCTTATACTTTTGTACGTCGCGGCCATATTGAATTCCATTATAAGAAATACAATATTTTAAATTACATATGTGAATTAGTACAATTTTTTTTTCAATATTACGAAAATAACATATGTTTCCAAAAAATACAGGATGCATTATAAATACAGGAATTTCTAAGGATTGAATCATTATGAATTAATGTTAAAACTACATATGGATTATATGTATTAAAAATGGATAACGTAATAAAAAATATTTTTCGAATTAATTTAAAATTATCATTTTCTGTTGACATAATCATGTCATATTTACACAGTGATTTTATGTTAAACAGTAATATTTATAATTGTCTTAGATAAAATTTTTATGCATTGATAATCCTATACCATAGATTTTTTAACCTTCAACATTTTAAAGAATATTTTATGTAAAATAAATACAACTCGGAGTTACTAAAATAGAAATTTAATTTTAAATAGAATAATTAATATTATTGTTAAATAAAATTTTTCATTACTTTCAAATTCAATCATCTACTCCAATTAATATTTAGTAACAGAGAAATTATTATATTAAACAAATTTTAATTTTGATACGCTTATGTAAAGTAATTTAATGGTAAAACCTATGAATTCAAAATTTCTTTTAATTCAATTACGTTTTTACGTGAAGAATGCGATAAGTAGTAATTAGGTATTCGTTTATTACATGATTTCTGGAAATGCAATTGATAGAATTATGTTGCATTTATGCATTTCCTTATTTAATTAAAGGAAGTAGCACATCTGAATAAGTATTATGAGATTAGTTAATATCATTATTATAGTATTACCTAAATCATTTGAAAATGTTATCGTACACTTAATTAAAACTATTAGAATTCAACTTCTCTTACATGTATAAATAACAAAACGAATTTATAAAGTCACGTATTGCCGAAAATGGCTCATATTTATTATTCTTGTAATTTTATTTTAAAAAAAAATTCACTATGTCAATATTATTTATAAGAAATTTATAAGTATTAATTGAAAGTTACATAAATATATTTTTATTATAACCAATAATCGTTATTAATCAAATAAGTATTGTTTTATTGTATTTATATCAAGTATTATTAGTAAATATTATTAAACAATAATTTAATATTTGAATAAATAATTTATTTCATTCACGCTGATTTACATAAATGAAAAATGCGTTATGAAAAAATTATTTTTTATAAAAGTGATATTAATTCATTGTAAAAACGTGAAATAAAGTTAAAAGGACAAGAGACAAGAAATTAAATTTTGTTTGTATGATTTTCTGATTAATAATTCTTATTGAAATGTAATAAGGAAAAAGAAACTGCTGCTATTTCTAATATTCTATGTACGATTATTAGAAAAATTTTTTTTTTAAATATCTAATGATAAAAACTGTATAATGTATATTAATATTCTTCAATGATTAATAAAATAATTATCTGTTATGTTGTTATATATCGTTCGTTTGATTTTTTTTTTTTTTTTTTTTTTGCTGATAATTTCTTAAAATGGAAATTACAAAATATTATTTAATAATATCATAAAAGGAATATTTATTATAAAATATATCTAATGTAACAAAGGGTAACATATAACAATAAGACATTCATCAATAAAAATAGATTTTAATCATAGTATGGGTGGATAAATTTTATAGAAAAGTGAAAGATGTATTATTAGTAGTGATAGATGAGATTCTAATATAGACAGTGAACAATGGAAGAGTATTTCATTAGAAATATTTCCAATGAAATTTGATTTCAATCGACTTTCCAGATATTCACTTTAATAAAAAATAATCCTGCAAAATACATTATTTTCTTCAAGTTTATTAATGTTATAATTGATTGTCCATTACTTATACTCGAGAGAATTCTGATATGAATTTCCACAAGTGCAAACGATGAATCGAGCAACAAAAATTAATTCTTAACGATTTCATTAGTTTATTTATCCGTACTACTAATAATTTATGCCATCCAATACCTATAATTTGTTAGTGATAATTTATTATTATTATTATTATTATTATTGAAGTATATTAGTTGTTATTCCTTTCGTTTTTATATATATAATTGTATTGAAAAAATGAACTTTTTTTCTTTAACATTTTCTGGAAGTATATGATATTTTTTCAAAAGGGTTTTTCTTTTGTTCAGAGGTATTGTTGATAATTCTGTTAGAAATATTTAAAATTGTTAATGAAATAATTCTAAACAAAAAAAATCTTCTTTAAAAATAATTCTATTATATTTTCTTATTTTGTATCTTATTGTTATATTAAAATAAAAATATTATTCTCATATAAATTTATAATTTTATTGATATATAATCATATTCATTATAAATTTATCTATTCTTGGATAATAGTATGATTATATGAACAATTATAAACGTAATAAATGTTATATATATAAATATATATATATATATATATATATACACATATATACATTGCTTTGAATTACTAAAATGTTTAGTTTAAATAATAATTGAATTTCAATATAAAAATGGAATATAAAATAGAAATCAACTTTTATAATGAAAATATAAATCCATATAATTTATTTATATAGATAATTAATCGTCTAAATATTCTTAGTATATTCATTTTAAAGCTATGCATTTGATGGGCAGTAATGAAAGTTCAATTGTTAATGTTTTACTATAAATTTTTTTAATTATTAATCTTTAACTAAGAATTAAAAAATTTTCCAAGACAAGTTATAAATGTACATGTCTTTCATATATTTAAAAAAAGATTTTGATTTGTATAAAAATTGATAAAATATTTACATTAAAAGTATTTTTTATTTATCATTATAATTGTTTCTAGATTTTATAGATTCATTTTTGTGAATTGAATTAGTTAGCCATTTATTATATTAATTTTTCCATATATATTTTACATAATCGTAGTAGAATTTTCATGAGAATTTAATTAAGAATTTTTATTTGTTTGCTCGCACTATTAGGTAATAATTCTATAATATTCTTTTGAAATTTATTTATTAATATAACTAGAACATTAATATTCAAATATTTTATAATTAATTTTCTTAATCAGTGGATATTATGGTTTTTAAAAGAGTGCAATAATACGTGTGAATATTTAATAGTAAACATAATTAATCTTTTTTTCCAATATTCATGTTTTTTGTTTTATGATAATTAAGCTCATCATACGTTATATATTTAATTAAAAATTATTAAATTTATTAAAATATTTATCAGAAACTTAACATCATAATTTTATATTATACTTCTATAATAGTTTTAGGTAAAGAGTACTAAAAAACAATATTATAAATTTAATATCTAAGTGGATTTTGTTTTCTCAAATGAAAATAGAAAATAATTTTTAAAAAATCGAATCATAATTGATTCACAAATTTTTTTTACGTAAATTCTAGTTTCATACATAGGCAAACTGATTTACATTATTTTATAAATATAACATACATAGTCATTTAAATAAATTTACAAATTTCTATATTTTATAGCAATTTAAAATAATAAATTATCTATAAAATATAATTTAATCATTCTTTCAGAAGTTTTTTATTTTATAAATTATTGAAGACAAATACGTTTCAGTAAAATCATCAGCATTTTACATTATAAAATTTCAATTAATTATTCATATTAGGTTTAATTTTTTGTACTTACAATGTCAAATCCAATTTCATAGTGGGTACCTCTTGTATAAATTATCGGAACCACATTCCTTCTCGCTTCATCTTGGGAACCAGAATGGGAGAATTGCGAACCAGAACGACCATTTGGTACAGCCCCTATGTCATTCATGTCGAATAATGTCTGATCCAATTCATTAATCATGTAAAAAATAATCTGTATTTAATTGGTTTATAGTCAAATAATTATATAGAATAAATTAGCGCTATATTACTTATTATTAGCAAGTAGAAATTAATTGGATAATTTATTTTAATTGTTTCGACGACTCCTTTAATGAAAAATAATCAAATAATATACTTCAATGATTGAGATGTTGGATGATTAAAAAAAAAAAAAAAAAGAAGAAGAAAAAAATTATCTTCATACTGGTTGCGGGTGAAATTTATGAAATGTTTTTAAACGAATTTAATGTCTGTAGGAGAGATTTAAATGAATGAGTGATTTTTGATTTGTTTCATAATATCTTGATCCATCATAAAAACAACAGTTTTATCATTATTTTGATGAATTACTATGTAATTGAAAAATCATCAATATTATCAACTTAATACTTATCTTATTTTATGTTAATCCTATTCCATTATCTATTGAGACATGAATTAGGCAGCAGAAAATATTAATACTTAGATTATGTGAAAGCATAATAAGAAATGAAATATTTAAAAATTGAGAAATCAAAAGTGATTTCAGCAGAAGAATTAGCATATTATTTAATCAATTAGAAAACTATTAATAAAGCGCATATTAATGTGAAATTTCAAAGTAATTTTTGAAATTGTCTTAACGTATTATTTATTACATCAGAGTTCTAGATTATTTTTCTGCAATGTGTATTTTCCAGTAACTAAAAATGAAAGGAATAAACATAAAGAAGCCAATAATGCAATAATAAAATATATAAATGTATGATTATGTCAGAGCTTATAGGCACGCAAATTATTAGTGATAATGTACATGGAATTATCAGTAGAATTGAGCGTTATTATTGTAGAGCCTTGATTTAATTTTATGTATCTAAGATCTCAAGATGTGTTAGTATTGGTAACTCTTTCTTAAATCGTCGTTACTAAATTCTAATCTCATTTCATAATAACGAATTTCCACATTTTCAATGAAAAAAGCCGAATATACTATTAAATTAAAAAATACACTATTAACACAAGTGCTTTCGATAAAACAATACATTGTTAATTTATTCCGTCACTCAATAAAATACAAATGGAGCCATTTCATCGAATCGTTTATCATTTTAAAGTTAATATGTCGTGGCTCCCATGCACCGTCGCATTCATGTCTTACTAAAGGGTCGGACTATCTTTTCTCACTCCGAGAGATCCCTAAGCTTACAATAATGAACGAAACTTACAATGCTAGCGCTAATCTTCACCTCACGCCCTTTAACCGAAATACCAAAGCTGAGCTTTGGGATTAATATCGCGCTAGGAAGCTACAGGACGAATGATGAGCGAGAAGTCGCTTGTGGACGACGAGTGATTCTATGCGCGACGAATCTCGAACTGCAAAGTGGAAGACCGATCGCGCTTCTAAGTCTTATTGACTCACCGACGGACTCTGATATATAGCCACCGGAGGGAATTGTGAACTCCTACTCGAGCGATCGGCTGCCCGCGTGTTTTTTGTGTGTGCGTGTGTGCGTGCGTGTGTGCGTGCGCGCGTGCGTGCGTGTGTGTGTGTGTGTGTGTGTGAGAGAGAGAGAGAGAGAGAGATCGAGTCGCACGCGTGATAAAGAAAGAGAAGAAGAAGAAAAAATATTCTACTTGCTCTCAAGTGGCTTTGTTGTGCTGCACTCGATGCTGGTTCTTGAAGAAAAGCGAGCCCAGGAGAATGTTACGAGCCTTGGACAAGCAATTGCTGGGACGCGATTATTGTGTCACGAATTACAGAGATTTTTGGCTGATTGGATAACTTATACATACATACATACATACATACATACGTACATACATACATACATACATACATACATACATACATACATACATACATACATACATACATACATACATACATACATACATACATACATACATACATACATACATACATACATACATACATACATACATACATACATACATACATACATACATACATACATACATACATACATACATACATACATACATACATACATACATACATACATACATACATACATACATACATACATACATACATACATACATACATACATACATACATACATACATACATACATACATACATACATACATACATACATACATACGTGCATGCATACATACGTACATACGTGCATGCATACATACGTACATACATACACACACATATATATATATATATATATATAGTGTGTGAGTGCGTGTGTGAGTGAGAGAGAGAGAGAGAGAGCAAAACCATTTTTGGACAAAAAATTTCCATTTTTCAATTCAAATTTTTCTTACGCGTTTGCTTTACGAGGGTTTACTTTGCCGTGAATCGATTTAATGATTTTATTGACATTCTACTTTTTATTTGCAGCAATATTAAAGTCGTTAGCATTTTTACGATTATAGTATTGTGTAGCTGAAGTAGATTTACTGATATTACAATTTTACTACAAACAAAAACAATAGCAACAATCAGTCAACGCTTATGATACTTATTATTTATACTTAATATAAGATATAATACAATTTAATATTATTTCATGTAATATAATGTAATTTAATGTACATTTTTTTTAATTATCTGCTTTACAAACATAAATTAACAAATACTTCATTCTTTTCAATTATTTTCATTATTTTATAATTATGCAAATAATAGTTAGACATTGTAATATGTACTAATACAAATATTAAAATTTTCAATAATAATAATCGTCGGCTAATTTTCGATCTTATTAATAAAAGGAATAAAGTTAATTATTGTCTAAAAATCATTCAAAAATAAAGATTTATCTTAAAATCTAATTCATCAAAGTGCATGATAATTTTCATGAAAAAAATTCTTTTATTAAATATGCAAATTATTATGATCAAATTATTATATTACAAACTTATTATGAATATCTCGATGGTTTTATAGGTTTTTTTTTTTTTGTTAATTTAAAATTACGTTTATTCTATCACTTAGTTTAAATAACATTTGGGTTATTGTGATTGAAAGAAAAATATGATATTCACTCGAAAGCTTATTAAGAATGTTTGAGTTAACATATTTATGTATATATATATATATATATATATATATATATATATATATTTTTTTTCTAATTATTTTGTAATTAGTTTAAAGATATTGAATAATATAGAAATGCAATTGAATACATAAATATGTATTTTATAATACTAAGGAAATTTTAAGTAATGCGCTTAATTTTTAAAACCGTCTAAAAATCGTAGATGTTCAAAACAAAAATTGATAATTAATTTAATTGCACATTCATAAAGGTGTCTTCGATTATTTAATAATTAAGGTATGTTATTTTTTTTTAGCAATATGCAAATTGAGATAAAACATTCATTTTTCGGATGACCCATATTAATTTTCAAGGCAAAATTAAATTTAATAACTAAAATAATAATACTAATAATATACTCTAAAAGTTTTATTATATATATTTTACATATTATTTATATGTGTATTTTATGCAATTTAAAATATCAAAATTTTAGAAATAAGATACAGATAAAATAATACTCGCTAAGTAGATAAATTATAATAATAGCATTAAAAAATATAATATATTATCTAATCTAGATTTTTTAATAGTATATTTAAGAATAAATACAAATTTATTTTCTATTGTTGCCCGAGTAAAAGACTCGAACAGTCATTGTCATAAAAATAAAGTCAAACATAAATTATTTATTAGATATCCTATAATATAGTTCATGAAAATGGAAAACTCAAGATATGATAAATTGACTCAATTTAATGGTATTTGTCTATTTTTAAATTACTAATTTAATTAATTAATTAAAACGAAGCTTTTTTTTAAACATATTGTGACAGAAAATTATGTCATGTTAAAGTAGTAACATTAATTAAATATGTTGAATAAATGAACGTAAAATATATTATTCGATATAATAATATATATATTTTTTTTAATTTCATACGATTTATAATTGTTTTAATTTAGAAAATACTATATTAATATATTAACGGCAATAATTATATTTTCTAAAGCATTTACTTAGTAAATTAATTAAAATTGAAATTATATATTGTGAATCTACATAAATTTAATTTTAATATTTATGTATAGAGATTATAAATATCGATATTTTTCCTTTTATTGGCATATTAAATTGACATTCCCTCTTACTAAATCATGAACTAATTATATCATATATTTTTATGTAATCAATACAAAGGATATGAAAAATATTCTAATTTTTAGTCCCACTTTTAATCGGATACCTCCACAATGTTTAATATGTGATAATATTATTGCCATTACTACGTTGTTCTCAACATCTTTCGTCAAGAGATTGCATTAGTATTTTAGTAATTGGTCGAATTCACGAGCAATTTCTGTCATTCTAAAATGAAAATTTATTGCATCTACTAAATTATTATGTGCAAGAAGCGAGTGTTTATTTATGATATATAAATGAAAAACATGACAAACGATAATGTATATAACACTTTAATGTAAAGTTATGATTCGGCATTTTTTAATGCGTAGTGGACAATCGTCTTATTATCCTAATTATCATCAGTGAAGTCATTGATTTTTTTTTTTTTTTTTTGTAAATTAATTTTAATTACTTTGCATCTTATTGTATTTACTTACATATTGGTTCAATTTCATCACTGTCTATAAATGAAAAGATATTATTTAAATGTTGTTAAAAACATTCACTGAAAATTTATAAATAAAGTTTATAGATTAAAATACATTCTTTTAAGTAGCGATAAATTTAATTTAAAAAAAAATTAAAAAAAATGATAAAATCAGTATTTTCACATCAATATATTGTTTATGAATTATAAGTTGTTATTATCAATAATAGTATGATGTAAAGTATAAGTTTATTAGAGCAATTTACATAAATTACAAGTTTGTATTTTAATAATAGATTGCAGAATTATTAGTTATTTCAAAACAGGTAAAATTTAAGAATACATGTTCTATAGTAATTAAAAATGCAAGTGCATATCATTATACTTGAGTAAAATTGATTTTACATGATAAGAATTACATTTATACTAGCATATCACATAGTCCTACTTAATACTTTCCAGTGCTATTTTATTCAATTCTTCTACAGATAAATACAGATAAACGTTACAATTTTCCGAATTTATGCGTTTTATAAAAAAAAAAAAGAAAAAAAAAAAAAGAACATTATGGCAATATTTCTTTTTCGATTGAAAATGCTGTGTGAATATAATTTTGAGCATATTAATTTTTAATAAATTAATTTTTTATTGACAATATATTATTCATTGAAATATTGTTTTGAAACACAATTCAGTTGCACAAAGAATTTTAAGTACAAAATCTAATAGCTTTTTTTTGTGAAATATTAAAATTCTCCACATATTTATGTTTTAAAAGTAAGTTCTTGTTGAAAGAATTTAATTTTGCATTTATTTAATAATCTCTTTTGCATATTATCAATAATAATGTAGATTACGTGTAGTTAATATAAATTACCGAGTATAAAATTATTACTAAGTATTACAATTTATTTATATCTCTATTCAATATATATATATATATATATATATATATATATATATTTATTTATTTACACGTAAACGCTATTAGATTAAAGCATGAAACTTTTATAAGTTTTATTTGCTTTAAGTGGATTATTTGCTAATCATAATATTGCACTTATTTTATAAATTAATTAATAAAAGTGGCTATTTGTAAGTAATGCAATTTCATTAATTATTTATCTATCTTAACATACTTATAATTCCAATGTATGTTAATCTAATTATAAAAATATGTACGCCTACTTTTCATATTTTTACGCTCATCCTGTATTTTATTTATTTTTCATTTTTCAGAATACAACATACCATTTATTTACCGAGAAAAAACATATTTTTTCCATAAAGCAGAATATACACCTAAAATCTCTCTCTCTCTCTCTCTCTCTCTCTCTCTCTCTCTCTCTGTCTTTCTATATATATTATATGTCATGCTCTATACTGCTAAACTGTGTGATACTAATTTTTTTTTTTCAATTTCTGATTTGTATTATTTTTCTAAACATCATAGTTCACAGTATCTAATGTATACTGTGCTGTACGTATTTTGTCAAAAAATTAAATTTTTAAGATTTTATTTAAACAAATTATAGTAAAAAGTTAATTTATTTAATTTAAATTTTAAACGAAAAATAAATGTATTACTTTAAATAATTATTCATTTTTATCATTTACTGCAATAATAAATGTACTAAACAGTAAATGACATAACTTTATTTAGTTAAATATTAATAAAAATTATTGATTAAATATTATCTTAAGAAAGTTAAGGTCTACGTTTTACGAATATATGAAGTTTTTAAAAATTTTAATCTTATTAATTTAAATTTG